GAGAGAGAGAGAGAGAGAGAGAGAGAGAGAGAGAGAGAGACGATAAGTCTCCGACCTCGTGGCTCCATGCTACTTCCATCGATAGGATGAGCAACATCCAATGAATCTTCGGCTAGAACATGGAAATATACACTACCTGGTTGAATATGGCCGACCGCGTCATGCTACTTCCAGCGATAGGATGAGCAAAATCGAATGAATCTTCCCCTAGAACATGGAAATATTCACTACCTGGTTGAACATGGCCGACAACTTCTACGGCGTGGCGCAAAAAAAAACCGTAGCGAAAAAAGAGCCCGTTCATAAAGTCGCGCCCACACCAAACCCCCCCCACAAAAATTGGCAGTAAACAGAAAACCCCGCCAGGCCCATGAAGCCGCGCCAACATCAACCCAAAAAAAAAAACGGCCCTTAAAAAAACGCGCCAGGCCGAAGGTGCATCGGGCCCACGCGGGAAAGGTCTCAGCGGGACGCGTCACGCAAGACCGCGTTTTGCTTTAGAGTATTAGGGAAAGGGAAAAAATAGAGATAAATAAATTGGCAAGTACCCGTTCATAAAGTCGCGCCCGCACCAACCCCCCCCAAAAAAAATTGGCAGTAAACAGAAAACCCCGCCAGGCCCACGAAGCCGTGCCAACATCAACCCAAAAAAAAAAAACGGCCCTTAAAAAAACGCGCCGGGCCCAAGGTGCATCGGGCCCACGCGGGAAAGGTCTCAGCGGGATGCGTCACGCAAGACTCGCGTTTTGCTTTAGAGTATTAGGGAAAGGGAAAAAATAGAGATAAATAAATTGGCAAGTACCCAGTGGGGGCAGAGGGTGAGGGGCCTCAACCTAGGTTACGGAGAAGGGTAGAGGAATAGAGTAGAGGGCTGAGGAGAGGGAGGAGGCAGGAACCGACAGGGAAGAATCTCGTTTGGATACGGCAGACCTCCGTTCCCTTGGTTTGTGGGTACCAGCTGCTCTTGGAAGTCATCCAAGAGTGAGGCCATGGCAGAACGAGAGGGGAGAGGCACAGAACGGGGGAATATTCATGGATGAACCACGGTTGGTTGACATGGATGAACCACGTTTGACATCCATGGATATGGATGAACCGCCATTGCTAGAGATGCAACAGATAGAAGCGCAGTGAGAGTGAGGCTGCAAAGGGAGCTCTTTGGGTGCTGGCAATAAGTGGGAATACTCAGACATGATTCCTGTTCATTCATTCACTTGTTGTTGTAATTAGTTGGTTATTGGAAGAGAAGGAGAAGGGAGAAGAAGACGAGATGGGGAAGAAGAGAGCGGAAAGACATTGTTTCTTCAACTTGTGTAATTCTTCTTCTTCTTCTTCTTCTTCTTCTTCTTCTTCTTTATTCTGTTCCCCGCACTACCTCTCTCCCACTTTCTTTAAAGTTATCTCTCCACTTCTCTCAAGTTCAGCAGATCTTACATTTTCTCACAATCGAGTTCTGTACTATGGATATTACAATAGCATATACATCGTCAAACAGAACTGCACGGTATGCATTCCTTATTCTCCAATCTTAAAACGTGCAGGATAAAAATACATATATGCCAGAAAACTCCATACGCCTACCTGGGAAACCAGTCCTGAAGCAAACACTTATGTACAACATCTGTGTGCCCATCAACATGTGCAACAATGACCCCACTCTTGAATGTACAATCCCACCTGCATTTCAAGCACGTGTAAAGAAGCAGCAAAGTACAGGAACGGAAGCACATAAGCAACTCAACAGCATTCAGCTTACATGGTACCTTCTTTGGCACTCACGTCCGCACAACAGCCTTCTCAACCGGATTGACATTAGTCAGCTTTGACCAATCAATATAGCCAAACAAAGTAGCCAGGCACGTAAAAGGTGGTGAATATAGATAAACCAAAAAAAACAACAATGGCAAAGAGAGTACCTATCACAGGCAGAGCCCTGATAACTGTGAAAACACATACACAAGAACAAGTAAACAAAAGATTGAAAACCATCTCAAAGTTGCGAACGCTATATTCAACTAGGAAAAAAAACTGGGAGAGGATTCAGAGAAATGGTATTGCCAATTGTTTGTTATCCGATATCCATCCAAGATTGTAACTGTCTGAATGTCTCTGCACCAAGTACAGATCATCCACCTTCGCATCTGCCTGTTCAGCAACTGTCGACTTCCGGGCTGCGATTCGTTCTTCAAATGCAAGAGCTGATACACGAGATCGGTGAATTCCAAGATGCCTCAGACATGTTTCAGCTATCAGAGTCCCAAAATTACGTCTCAGGGGTGACCTGCAGATACGGACGCTAAGGCAACAGGAAATATGGATGCTAAGGCAACAGGAAAGCACAGGTAGAGCCCAAAATTAAATGAACAGATGGGCACTGGCCATTTCGCGTGGACGCAAAAGGTAATACATTCTCCTCTGACTTGGCCGTGTAGCAATCCATGTGGTTAAGCAGGAAGAGCCCATGTATCCATCAAAATTGCAGATGAAAAATCATTCAAAAATGGCCATATAAGGCGGCTGCAACAGTTCATAGTACTTCATACCCTTTTATCTGACTTTACAGGTGGCAAAGGAACCAGAAAACGCAAAGACATCCGTGTGTTCAAGCAGTAAATAGCCCCTGCATCCATCCAATTAACCCACTCACACTGAAAATGCAGGTCAGTAGACTCCTTACTCTCCCAAAACAGCAGGGGTACGAAACTCACTCGATCGTAGAATGGCATAAACCACCAGTACCTCGCCCCAGCCAACTTCAGAATCACAATTGAGCCTCTCCGAAAAACTTGGGGCTCGGGGAAGGCCCGGTGGGGCAACAGGGGAGTAAGCTTGTGGTCCCATTGAAAACGGGCGAATGGACTAAAAGTTTCCCTGCCGGTCCAATCTGGACATGTGTTTCCGCATGTACATACGGAACCGCTGCCTCGCTGGCACTGGGGCCAGAAAACTACACCAACAAAGAAAAAGGGGAAAAAAAAAAACAGAACCAAGGAAAAACGAGAAACATTTACATGTTTTTTTTTTTTCTTCATTAAACTGGTCGTGAATGGCCGTGGCCACCTTCCTGGGCCAGATTCGAGGGAATTCTTTGAGTTTCACTCAACTGGTCCTATCTGGTGAGTGGCAACTCCTCAAGTATGTCAAATTTTCTCAGCCACGGGATTGAAGATCTGGCTACATAGTACCTGTACTTTTCCCAGAATGCCTGTGTTTGGCTATTTGGGCATGGTTTATTGTGTGCCGTGTAAGGTGTATTTCGTCAATATCGGACGCCGACCGAAGGCAGGGATGAAGTGCACAGCTAACGCTCACTTCGTATCATTTTGTTTGGTTGTTCTCTGTGCTACCTCGGCACCTGTGCTTTTTCATCTATTAGCTCAGGGCAAACTCACAGTGGGACTTGAGTGCACGAGAGCTGCATGCATCGAGGGGGATGCTGTGGGGGCAAGCAGCCCCCAACCAGTCACTGGCGCCTGTCATCACGGATTGAGAGCAAAACAAGCGGAAACAACATGCCCAGAAGAGAGACAGGCGCCAGCCTTCTGAAAGTTAAGGTGGTATGTTTTGTTTTCGTTTTACATGAATCTTCACCCATTTTGGGATATATAAGTGTGTGTTCCTTTGAGGGTATACTCAGACTAGCAATGCGAGGATGGATTGACTGAGATGTATCCGGCTGCTGTTGCGTCCATCGTGAGCCAAGAACTTCAGTGTGAGTTGCGTTTTTTAACTTTTTTTCCCCCTTCTTTATTATATTTTCTCATCTTCATACTTGTCGAGTGGCCCCGTGAGCCCTGTGCCTCTTTGAAACCACCTGTTTCTGAAACTCGAATTCAGCCAGATACAGGGGCTGACTTTTGGCTGTCGTGGCACATGAGTGAAAACATAATGGCAGTATCATTCCCATGTTCATCTTCTGGGCCCAGCAGGGATCTTATAGCACTCAATATGATTCTACCCTGCATACGGACTCGGCAGGTTCCCATCCCACATATGAGCACACAGAAACCAGATACTGAAATAGCAGTTCATACAACTAAAAATTCTGACTCTTCCAAGTTCTGTGAATGCGAACGATGCATTATATGATGAAAGGAAAAGTCTTTATGATAAACGAAAAAGGCCTTGTTAGTGAACCTGTGCAATCTTCAAAATGACGCACATGAGTAAGCACACCCCTGATTAAGAGATTCAGATCTTCCTTAAAACTGTGTGATTATGTGTAGTAGAGAGGGGGGCAGGGAAGAGCGGCAAAAAAAAGGGAACACCTACTGGAGCCTTGAATCATCCATGGCCCGTACAAGCTCAAAAATGGCCTCGCAAGAGGCCTCCACAACGCCAATTGCAGTCATAGCTGGGTTGCTGTTCTGCTTCCTCGCAAAGCCACAAATCAACAAAGCAACAAGTACTCAGTATGGAAGTACTGAGGCAATCACCTTACAGGCTCACATTAGATTTTCGGAGAACAGACCAAAAATCATAAGAAAAGAAAAGACAGAGAGAAAGAAACAGAAGGAGAGAGAGGGAGAGAGTCCACCACCATGTCAAGTTACCTGGAAAAGGAGGGAAGCTACCAGCATGCCATGTTGCCAATCACCAATTGATGCACTATTTGGCCAGTTGCTTTTCTTTCCCAGGTCGTGACCCGTCCGAGCTAGACAGCAGTGCTGTGCCACATATGCTGCAAGTCATAAGGTGCTCTCTTTCATTTCTCAGCCAAAATATGCTCATATATTACAGAGTGCAAATTTACATGTGCAGTTCACACTTTCTAGGTGCTTTCAAATCACTTTCCGCAGGCAGAAAAAAACTGTTCCACATAATAGTATGTTGCCACTACTTGGGGTCATACCATCCTGTCTGCACGTCCTTCAAAAGTTGTTAGAAATTTTATTTTATAGTTCCACGGCTGCTTTGCATCGTCACACCACAAAAAAATTGTAAACAGCCTCCCACGCAGGGCATGACAACCTTTTTTAGCCCTCTCACTCGCACTGCATCCAAAATTTGTTAGAAAATCTATATTAGATGTCTACAACTGTCTTGTACTGTCATCCACAAATATTGTAAACAGTGTCCTCCGCCTCCTGGTCACCTGGTGTGAAAAGCAACTCCAATATCACCAGCGCAAACAGGCAAGTCAGGGTAAGCTTCTCTCTCTCTCTCTCTCTCTCTCTCTCTCTCTCTCTCTCTCTCTCTCTCTCTCTCTCTCTCTCTCTCTCGTGCAAAGCAAATAACTCAGCCACTGGGAATGGCTGCTCTTTTCCAGAGTTGACAGGCCTTGGCCGGCCTCAGCCTGCCTCCTTGAACGGTGGAGATTTCTTAACCCAGATTTGATGTCCGCAAATGTGCGCCTGCACCCAATAGGCCCCGGAAACTTCCAGAGCAATGCAGACAGCCTTTGACTGTGCATCAGAGATATGTGGCTGTGGTTTACTCCTGAGAAATCTCTGACTCTTGACCAACTCTTCCCAAGTTTGGGCCTAACTCATGATGTTTCCTGGATTCAACTACCTCGCATGGGATAGGGGCAGCCTCTTTTGACAATGGATCTGGTACCTGGTGAGCTGAGGACTTTTCTCAGGCCCCTCTAAGATAAGAGAGGCGGCTTTTGACCCCTGAATCCGAACTTGGACAAAAAGTTAAGACCCTGGTCTATGTCTGTGCAGATTTTCAACTGAGTTCATTGCAAATGGGCCAGGTCCTGGTGAGGTCCCCGGCAGCCCCTACACAACATCACAAAAATCTGGAAAGGTTCTCTCCTGTAGAATTGAAATGCAAAGAATTTTCCGCTTAGTTTTTTCCGTTTGTTTGTTTTTGTGGCTGATGGTCACTTCGAAATTCGTTATTAAATCTTAAACATCAAATTATTTCAAATAGCCTGAGTGAGGATGCCGCCCGGCCGGGCCTGCCCTGCCGGGCTGGGCCCAGCCAGTTGGGCCCGGGGGGTCCGCCCAGGTAAACCGGGCAGAAAAAAAAACGCCCAGAATTTTTTTTTATTTTTTTTTTGAAACCGGGGTCGTTCTGCGCTCGGTGAGAGGACCCCGAATCTGCAATAAAATTTTGGTTTTGGTGGGGGGATGGGGGGGTTGGTCTGGGTGGGGGGCTGTCTCTTATACACATCTAGATGTGTATAAGAGACAGCCTCTTGAGAGTCTTTCCATGGATTTCATGGATACTCTAATCACCAGCAAGAGTGGGATGCGTCACATCTTCGTCATCGTGGATAGATTTAGTAAGTATGCTAGGTTAGT